GCAGCACGGCAAAGCCCATGCGGTAATTAACTTTCTCCCTTCCAAGTTAAAGGTTTACTAACGCACGGTAAAATAAGACCTGAGGCGATGAAACAAGCAGGGGAAAAAAACCCGTCAAATTAGACACTTGTGACTCGATAAGGAATTAATTATACCCTGGTTTAACAATAATAATAATAATATATTGCTTTTAATCTGCCCTCACGCCCCAAGTGAGGGAGAGCAAGCTGGGAAAAAGTGCTTGAAATGTCCCACATCAATTCCAAGGAGCGGGTTTCTGCCAACCAGAGCCTCAAACACGCCAGGATGAGGATGAGCTACTCCTCAGCAGCTCCAAAGTTTTCCTCTCCCCCGTTCTTGGTGGGGAAAAAAGAGAGGCTGGAGATGTCCTGCCAGCCCCACGTGGCACCGAATCTCCACAGTAAAGCCAAAGGGATGCTTGCCATGCACACAGGATACAGGGCCTGTCCACAAGGTACACGTGAGATCAAGAGTGATTTATTGTATTTTCTCCATTGCTCCGACGCAGAGACATTCAGTGTCCCTGCACAGTCCTGTCTCACCCGGATAGCTCAACCCCTCAAAGCCAAGGGGAACACAGGACTGTGAAACATCCACCTTTTGAAGAGCATCTGAAGCCTGCATGGCACTTTTGGGAACACTCTTCCCAGAGAAAAGAGCTCCAAGTCACCTCACATTTCCAAATTCAGAGGTTCAGACCAGCTGGGACAGAGACCAACACACTCGGGTCACAACAGACCCTTCTGGCCAGGATTTCATCGGCTGTTACGAGGCCACAGAGCTTCCTAAACATGGGCATTTTAACAAGGGGCAAAATCCAGCCCTGAAATCACTGCCTGCCACAGGCAGTCACAGAGCCAGACAGGTAGGACGTATTTTATAGCATTATCACATCTGCCCCAAGTATTTTTGCTTTTTGCCCCAAGCCCTCTTGGGGTTGACTCCATCTGCCTCTCTGCGTAAGGCAAAGAAATAAATTACTCAATTACTAGAAAATCCAGTAAGACTGACTGCAGAATTAGTCTCGTTAAAGCACAGAGCAAGTACTGGCGGCATCAGCATTTTTGTTTCTTGGTCTCTTTCCTCGCCCTGCCTTTGGCAGCGTGCGGGCACCTCGTGTCCTCACGCAGGGACTCAGCTCAGGAGGTCCCGTACGGTCACTTGTGTCACTTGGTCAAGCCCTGGAAGTTGGGCTCTGTACATGGGGGTAGCGCTGCCTGCCGGCTCAGCAGCTTGTCCAGGATGTTTCTTTCAGCGTCTCGTCTCTCGATGTCCTCAAACGGAGTCCAGGACATGTCAGGCTGGAGCTTATAGGCACCGAGAAATTCGTGGGGACTGGTGCCCCATTCCTGGGGGAGAAAGGGGAGATTCACATCACTGCACGGTTCCATAGAATTATAGAATCATTAAGATTGGAAAAAACCTCTATGATTATCTAGTCCAACCGTCAACCAAACATTACCACGACCACTAAACTGTATCCTCAAGCCCCTTGGAGCTGGGTTGTGCTGTTCCTCAGTCCAACCTCTGCCCGTGCTGGACAGCCCTTCCACCTTTGAAGCAGCCCCAGCTATGTGGCCATCCCCTTTTCTAATAAAAAATGAGCTCGGCTACCCTCAGCCCAAGACCAGGTCAAGCTACAGCGCTGCTGACACGGGGACGCTTGGAGATACAAGATCTCCTCGACCTGCACAAAGCTCCTCTATGTGCTCAGTGCTTTGCTCTGAAGCCTTCACCCTGCACATAAGAAAATAGGTGGCCTGGAAAGAGGACACCTCCAAGATCACCCCTACCAAGGCGCAGGCAAACTCAGTCCCAGGGATGAAGCCTCTGAAGAGATCATACAACAGCCACACTGGACAGGGAAGGTCCAGGGCATGGCTGCGGTTCTTTACTTCCAGAGAACGAACTGCAAGGACCTAAAAGAATTACTGGGTCCACACACCAAAGGTTTTCTTGCCCACCAAGAGCTAAGAGAACTTCCTAATACGGCTCTTACATCAACAGAGTAACTCAGACCAAGCACAGATGCCAACTGCACGGGGACCAACAAATGCCCCCATAGAGCTGGTGCTTTCGTTTGAGGTCCAGAAGTGCTCAAGCACCAGAAAAGTGGGGTTTTTCCCCCTTCCTGCTTCCTCAGGGGCTCTAACCACCCACCTTAGGAGACAGGATGGAGAAGTATCGCTGGCCACTCTCCCGCCTGTACATGTAGTAAATGTTTCCCGGCTTCTTCACAAGGTTGCAGGCCACGTGGTGCAGATCAGCATCTCTGTTAGCTTCGTCCAAGACCTAAAGAAAAAAATATTTGAAACTTTCCACGCTTGAAAGAAAACAACAACACACTATTGCCTCTCAGCCAGAGCCTAAGATACATCGCTTAACAAGCCGCTTGTGAGGCCTCGTCCTCCTCGGTGCACATCTGGCCTCATGTGGCACATCTTTACTTGCCCCAGCAAGAAGCTGCTTTCCCAAGAGATAAAGTTTTCTCCAAGTTTTCCTTGTCAGCTGGATCTCAGAGCTCCTGCTTGGAGGTGGAGATACCTCCAAGTATTAAGGACTTCTTCACCACAGCCCCAGGTTCACTGCTGTGCCCAACCCCACTGGACTTGTTCCTTGTCTCTGTACAGAGCAGCCAGACCCTGGGGGCTTCCCTGCTGCAGTCCCAGAGGGAAGGGACAGCAAACAAAGGGGAATTCATCTTCCCAGCTCCACCAGCTGACTGCTCCACAGCTCCAGCTCCACCAGTTAACGATTATGTGACGTAGTGGCCTTGGTGGCAGCGGGCCAGTCACAGTGACTGGCAGAACCTTTCCCACTCAGGCTCTGGGATTTCACCCCCAAGGGTGAAGTCTGAATTGAAGAGGACAATCGAGCCCTGCTGGGCTTGTTGCCAGGGAAAGTGAGCTGGTACAAACTGGAACATCGAGCCCATCACAGGTAACAAACAGCTCATCTCTCCCAGAGGCTCAGATCCAGCCAGAGCCACAGTCACCCCACTGCGTCGAGTCCTCCCAGGAGGAGCAGAGCGCACAGGCTACGGTGACAAGAGTCATCTGTCCCAAAACCAGAGCCATCTCTCTCCCTCCTGACACCCAAGCTGCTTTTGACTAGCTGCTGCCTTAACAGAAGTCCTCCCTGACGTGCAGAGGACTCGAAGAAAGCACCAAACTCAACCCTTCCCCCATCTCCAGCTGATACCAGACAATAAACTCTCCTTATTTTTCCACTGAATCTTCTCTTCTTGGCTCCTGGCCACGATTCACATCCAGGCTACAGCTCCTCCCAAATGTGTGGCAGTTACAACAGATGCGCATCTCCCTCCCCTCACCAGCATGAGACAATGAGCCTTCTGCCCAGCTCACAGGTGCATCCTCACCTTCCGAGCCTGCTCCTGCAGGTACCGGATCTGCTCGGCGATGATGGTCAATTTATTGCAGGCATTCGCTCGGATGAAGTCATCTGCCTGTGAGGAAGAACAAGGTTTGGCCAGGACGAGGAAGAGTAGTGACCCTTCGGGCCTCACCGAGCTGGGTGCGCGCTGGAGAAGCAGCGGTCGTGGCATCACTCGTGGCTTTACTGGGGCTGTGGGTGGTGCCAGAGCTGCCCTGTGTGTGGCTGTGAGGTAGTTGTCACAATGGCTGTGAGGGAGTTGTCACAACCTCAGGCAGTGCGGTGACACCCGTGAAGCAGTGACCAGGCACTGGGAGCTGCCTGGACAAGCTGGGTGGCAGTGGAAGGGAGCAACAGGACATACTGGGTGGCAGTGGGACGGACCGAGAGGTAGCTGGATGCACTGGGAAGAGGCAGTAGGACTTACAAGGAAGCATTTTGTTGGACTGGATGGACTGAGAAGCTCTGAGGGACATGCTGGGCCAAGACATACTACTGGAAGGCAGCAGGATGTAGTAGAACACACCAAGGAGGATAGAAGTACACACCAGGAAGCACTGGGGTGGGCTGAGAGACACTAGGATGGACTGGGAGAGGCAGTAGGGACATATTGGGAGGAACTGGGGCAGACTGAGAGGGACCTGGATGGACACGGAGGCACTGGAAGGGGACTAGGACACATCAGGAGGCACCAGGACAGACTAGGAGAGTGGGCAGGATGCCCTTGGACACACTGGGGTGAACTAACGGCAGTGGGGGGGGTGGCAGGGCACACTGGGATGGACTGGGAGATTAGTGGGACGTTCCGGGAGCCGCTGGCTGGGGGGGACAGGAGGACAGAGCGGGAGGTGCCGGAAGCGTCAAGAGCGCGACCCACAGGGGAACACGGGAAGGCAC